TAGCCCAGGCTGGCCTTGAACTCACAGAGATCCGCCTGGCTCTGCCTCCCAAGTGCTGGGATTAAAGGCGTGCGCCACCACCGCCCGGCTTAAAGACTTATTTTTATAAGTGTGTGTGCCATGGGTGTGCGGTGACTGAGGAGGCCATTGGGTCTCCTGAAACTGGAGTTACAGGTAGCTCTGAGCCACTCAGCATTGGTGCTGGGATCTGAACGTGGGCCCTCAGGAGAGAAGGGAATACTCTTAACCACAGAGCCATCTGTCCCTCAGGAGAGAGGGAATACTCTTCACCACAGAGCCATCTGTCCCTCAGGAGAGAGGAAATACTCTTCACCACAGAGTCCTCTCTTCCTCAGGAGAGAGGGAATACTCTTCACCACAGAGCCCTTTCTCGTGGTTAAGATAAATACAATCATAGGATTTTGCCAAGTAGACTAGGGAAGCGAAGTCTGAGGAAGTGCTAGGTCAAGGGTTGAGTGACATCTGGCTGACTAAAGGCCGGAGGAAGATGCCCAGGGTTGGGGCATGTCTAAGATAGCATTTTGCATGTGACATACTTGTGAGGCTATGGAATTTCAGGGTAGAAGTATCCAGATGAGAATGGGGGTCTGGAAGTCATCCATATTGATGGCTATGAGTGAGGTTCAGGAAATGTCTAGAGGTGTGTAAGAGTGCCAGCACTCACTGAGAGCTGGAGTCGAAGGAACAGAGATGGGAAAATGTCTGAGGAATGAGAGGATGGCTGGGGAAATGGAGAAGAGAGGTGCAGAAGGGTGGAGATGTCCTGGCTGGCTGAGTTGGACCCTGTGGGCCTGGAGTAACTCATCCGGACATTCATCTTTCCAGGTGGCAGACACTCCTCGGTGGACTTCTACTTCATGTGTCCTGGAAACTGGGCTGGGTGGAGATCAACAGCAGCTTGAGGTATAACCACCTCCCTGTAACTGACTCATGATGTACGTGCACGCTTTAAACATGGTTATACTGCACCAGGGAACTTGAATATGGGCCTGAGTTGTTTGGTCTTTTAGTTCTCTTCCAACCTTGAGATTCAGTGATTTTATAATAAGATACATCTTGAATATTGTTGCTAATATGATATTAAATTATTAGAGACACACAGTTACAATACCATTTTAATTTACCTTTGTCTTAGGTCTAAGGATCACTGCAGAGAACGTACTGGAGCAACTCTAAATATTTTTGGGAGTTTTTATTAAATTATTTTCTACTTACAGAATAGTTAAGACTAGGGCCAGTGTACTAGTGACTTTTCTGTCGCTATGATAAGGCACCAGGGTCAAAGCAGCCTACAGAAGGAAGGGGCTTATTTGGGGTTCACAGTTCCAGAAGCTTAGGGTCTGTGGTGTCTGCACAGGGCAGAGGAAAAGTGAGCAGGAAGCAGAGAGTGCATGGAAGACAATTCATGGTCTTTTCAGTTTTTTTTTAATTTAAAAATTACTTCTTTAATTTTCTGAGATTATAATTTAATTACATCATTTCCCCCTTCCCTTTCCTCCCTCCAAACACTCCCATACACCTCTCCTTGCTCTCTTTCAAATTCATGGCCTCTTCTTTTCATTAATTATTCCTGACTCTGTTATGTCACAGTTCATGGTGTGCATAAGACGCTGATCTAATATAGAAGAGTAGCTTTTTTAAAAAAAAATTATTTATTTATTATGTATGCCTGCTGGCCAGAAGAGGGTGCCAGATCTCATTATAGATGGCTGTGAGCCACCATGTGGTTGCTGGGAATTGAACTCAGGACCTTTGGAAGAGCAGCCAGTGCCCTTAAACAGTGAGCCATCTCTCCAGCCCGAAGAGTGGTTTTTTAAATCTTACTTTTGCCCTAAGTAGTGTAATGAAGTGCTTGTCTGTAACCCCAACACTGGCAGAGTCGAGGGTGGTAGAGACAGAGCCAGCCTAGCAGAATCAGTGACATCCAGCTTTAGTGAAAGACCCTGCCTCAAAAATAAATAAATGAATAAATGAATGAATTAATAAATGAATGAATGAATAAATAAATAAACAAACAAACAAATAAATAAATAGAAAAGAAAGTACAGACACCCGAGGAAGACATCTGAGGTTGGCCTCTGGCCTCCACATGCACACGCACACATGTGTGCACACACAAACATGTACACACATATACACACACAAAATAGGAAAAATGTGCTGAGGTTCTTTTGCTTGTAAAACAAGTGTTGACTTTACAGTGGTAGGCTGTCCCTGTTTCGGGCAATGCCAGAGATCAGCCTGTGAACCTTGTTCTCTTATTTTCATGTTTGGAAGCTATTTTTAGGTCCACTAGATGTCAGCAGAATACAGAATTTGGGAGAGTTCCACTTGAGGAGCCCCCGGCACCAGTAACAAACGCTGCAGAGTGTCTGCAGGGAGCAGATGTTCTCTCAGTAAGGCATGCTCTATTTGAAAACAAGTGATCTGATTTAATTAGGCTTCATCTCAATGACAACAGTTTTATGATGTATGCCAACAGACTTTCCTTAACTTCACACAGTGCTTAGTGTGGCAGGGTGGCATGCAAATGGAAAACAGACCCAGGATTCACATGAGATGCAATATCTGGGCTTCTCAGTCAGTTAAGGGGCGTTGCAGATCAGTACAGTTTTCAAACCAGACCCCTAGGCAAGAGACCCTTCAATGTGGTATCACATGCAGCCCCTCCAGCCAGGAGCTGCCCCCTTCCCTCATGCACACACATGCATATGCATGCAGATCTGCACATGGACATACTCACTGGTTCAGCAGTTCCCAGAGGCCCCAATGCTAAAGGGATCTGAGACCCTGCCAGGACCACCACAGACTTTAATTCTGTTTTGTTTCCTTTGTGGGTGAATAAGGTAATGAAAGAATTAACCCACGTAAGAGGCCAAAGCCACCAGATGATGAATTAAATGTGGGGACGGATGCCTCCTCAATTCCTGATGTTCAAGCCTTGGCTCTTAGACTCAGTGTTAGGCCTTTAAAGGAGCCTGGCCAGTGTAGCCCTCTACAAAGTGGCTTCGTAACCAGCTAAACTTCAAGGCTGCATTCTGGGAATTTATCCTGAGTATTATGAAAAAAAAATCACACATGTGAGAAAATAATATATTCAAGAATACTCGTACAGCATTGGGATAGTAAAAAAAGGCAAGATTGACTTAAATATCCAACCATAGGCCCTCTGTAGACCAGGCTGGCCTCAAACTCACAGAGATCCTCCTGCCTCTGCCTCTCCAGTGCTGGGATTAAATGCACGTGCCACCACTGCCCATTGGTATTGTTCAGTTATTATTAATGCAAGTCAATGGTCATTAATTCAATTATCAGTAAATGGGGTGTGGCTTTTTGCCATGGGAAATTGTGAAATTAGGCAGATTCTGAGACAATGTGTGCAACAGGGTCCCACTATTGTCAAAATGTTAATATATGTGACAGTTGGACCCGGAAGGACACCTCCCAGGTCCATCCCCTTTTGGGCATGTCCTGGATTGTAATTGCAGTGTTTTTCTTTTATTTTCTGGTTTTTGAGATAGAGTCTCACTGTGCAGCCCTGGCTGGCCTGGAACTTGCTGTGTAGAACAGGCTGGCCTTGAACTCACAGAGATCCGCTGCCTCTGCATCCTGGGTGATTGGAGGGTCAAAGAATGCCACAAAGATCACACCACACAATAGACTCATGAAGGAGATTTATTGAGGGAGGGGGAGGGGAAGGGGGAGTGTGAAAGGCCACCTGAGAGAGGATGGAAGAGGAAGAGCAAGCTTTTGTGAAAGTGAAGGTGCAGGCGTTATGAAGGGTACCAGACTCGGGGTCACAGTGGACATGTGTCACATCCGGTGCCTGGTGATGACGGCTTCTGGCGCTGAGTGGCGAAGGCCATCTGGGGGAGCATCTGGTTCTGGAATGTGGGTGGTTCTCAGTTTACCAACAATAGGTGTGTTTCTTAGTTAGAATGCGGTGGAGGATGGTAGTCTCTCACTGCTCTGAGTGGCCGGGAACCCCCACAGCCGACTGTTACCGATCTAGGGTCACAGCCCGTGCTCCAGTCAGCCATGTTCAGCATCTGCCCTCAATAAACCAATTAAAATAGCTAAGTTAGTAGTGAAAAGTCGAAAAAGAAGATGCACTCTCCTTGATCATACTTGGGAGGAGGGACAAAGAGATCCATTGATGTCCTCCCACCCCCACGACTTTCTCCAGGGTCCTGAAGTGTGGTTACAGTTTAAGGGCCAGAGTTATGTTTGCCAAAGCAATTCCAGCAGTTTGTGGCCCTGCCCCCCATTGACCTTTGGCTGTCTTCTGTAGGTCATCCGGCAGGTTGTACATCTCTTCCTGGTAGGAAAGTCTCTTCTCTGACTGGCTTAGGCATTCTGTTTTTCCAGCTTGAGACTTCTGGGTAATTCCAGTTTCCTGGAGGAGTCCGTTGTTTGAACAGTCTGACAGCTAGAGTGAGGGACACGGGTGTGTTTTTGGAATGTCTTCCTCCCTGCCAGGCCAGTTACAACCTCTGAAGGTGTCTGAAGTCGTAAGGAAAATGCCTGCACCCCCTTTGGCTGGGGGCAACCTCTCTCTCATGAGCACATTTTGTTCTTTCCTGTTAACCCCAAGTGAGATGGCAGGTCAGTAGAAGCTTCAATGTCCTGTGCCTGGGTCCTGGCCCAGATGTTTGGAGCAAAATGCTCACTCAGCCTCCCTGCCACATTTCCCAGGAGTGTCTTCTGTACCCGGCTGAAGTTATGTCAGAGTAGGGATTGGCACATGGACGTTCCCGAGGGTTGCTTTCTTTTCCTCACGTCCACAGTGAGCAGTGCAGACATTCTCATTTCTTGGAGTCTGTAACTCAGCAGGAGTTTCCTTTGTTTATTTTAAGAGGGACTCAAGTGCAGAGGTCTGGGACTTTACTGACTCTGCATTCCAGAGCCCGGGCTGCTGCAGCCAAGCCAGCTGCTTGCATGACTTGAGCACTGGCCACCTTCTCATCAGCGCTCTGCTGCGGTTGAAGTCCTGAACTCCTAGCGCATGGCCTGCTGTGGGTTTGTGACAAGTCAGAACTGGGAAGCCCTTTCCTAGGGGACCGCCACCATCTACAGTGTCTCTGGGCCCGTGAGGGTGGGGGTGGCATGCTCTTCTCTCTGTTCACCTTTTTGTTGGGGGTGTGGACATCTCTTGTTGCAGGCAGGGCTGTGATCATGGAGAATACGTTCCTGTTTTTTACCGCAGCGTACCTATCTATGGCCCTGTCTCCCATTAGATCACAGTGGGTGTGCGAGCACAGTGCAAAGGCGTGATTGAAAGCTTAGGCTGGGTAGGCTTGACTTAGGTTCTTGCCTTGTTATTTACCAGCTGTTCAGTAGGAACGTGACCAGAGGTCAGTGTGCGTCTGTGTGAATGGACAACTTTTGATGAGAACAGGAGACAGGAACTGGGGCAGCGTTCTGAGAACATCAGAAGAGGGCTCTGGTTCCTGTTTCTCTGTTATCTCCTGGCCTTAGTTAGGGTTACTATTGCTTCGATGAAACACCAGGACCAAAAACAAACTGGGGAGGAAAAGGTTTATTTGACTTACATTTCCACACCATGGTCCATCACTGAAAGAAGTCAGGACAGGAATTCACACAGGGCAGGACCCTGGAGGCAGGAGCTGATGCAGAGGCCATGGAGGGGTGCTGCTTACTGGCTTGTTCCTCATGGCTCGCTCAGCCTGCTTTCTTACAGAACCCAGGACCACCAGCCCAGGGATGGCACCACCTAGAGTGGGCTGAGCCTGTCCCATCAATCACTAATTGAGAAAATGCCCTTCAGGCTCACCTACAGCTGGATTTTATGGAGACATTTTCTCAGTTGGGGTTCCCTCCTCTCAGATGACTCTAGCCTGTGTCAAGTTGACATAAAATTAGCCAGCATACTCCTAAATAAGCCCATCTGAGTAGAAGTCTTAATGATCGTGTGACTGAAAGTGATCGGAGGCTCCTGGGTACCCACCTGGCTGGGCCACCTGGACTAACAGCTCACCTTCGTCCCATGTCCACTCTTGTTTCTGCAGTAAGTCCTTTTAAAAGCCCCCCAAACTAGCAGCTGCCAGCAGTCCTGTTTCTGGGACCCTCCTGTTATATGGATGCACTCTCTTTCTCCTTCTTCCTCTTCTTCTCGCTCAACTCCTTAGACTCCTACCCATGAATCTATAATAAATTTCTCTCTAAATGCTCCTCTTGTGGTTCATGAATTTCACTATTTTTTATTTTAATGTTTACTTACATGTATGTGTGTGTGTGTGTGTGTGTGTGTGTGTGTGTGTGTGTGTTACATGTGTGCAGGTACTTGGAGGCCAGATGAGTGAGTGGGAACCTTTGGAGCTAGAGTTACAGGCAGTTAACTACCTGATCTGGGTGCTGGGAGCCGAACTTCATCCTCAACTCTCTGGCCTCCTTTTATTCTTTGAATTTTAGAGACAAGAACCAGAAAGCGATATGTCTATCTTAGTCAATGTTCTATTGCTTTGAAGAGACACCATGACCACAGCAACTTTTTTTTTCTTTAGATTTATTTATTTATTATGTATACAGTATTTTGCCTGCACACACCAGAAGAGGGCACAAGATCTCATTACAGATGGTTGTGAGCCACCATGTGGGTGCTGGGAATTGAATTCGGGACCTCTGGAAGAGCAGCCAGTGCTCTTAACCTCTGAGCCATCTCTCCAGCCCCCACAGCAACTCTTATAAAAGAAAGCATTTAATTGGGGCTGGCTTACAGGTTCAGAGGTTTAGTCCATTATCATCATGGCAGGAAGCATGATGGCGTGCTGGAGAGGTAGCCAAGAGTTCTACATCCAGATCCACAAGTAGCAGGAAGAGAGAGATACCGGACCTGGCATGGGCTTTTGAAACCTCAAAACTTGTCCCCAGTGACACACTTCTTCCAGTAAAGCCACACCCACCCCAACAAAGCCACACCTCCTTTCAAATAAACATTCAAATATCTGAGGCTTTGAAGACCATTCTTAATTCAAGCCACCACAGTAGGCACTAGGTTTCCAGAGCTCTAGCTCTCCAAGAAAGGCTCTGTTGTCTCAAGGACATGCCTATTTCTATATTGCTTTGTAAGGAGAAAATGCAAACAAAGCATGGTGGTGAATGCCTGAAACCTCAATGTTTGAGAGGTGGATGTAGAAGGATCAGAAATTCAAAGGCAGTCTTGACTAAATAGTAAGTTCAAGGCCAACCTGGGCTACATGAGACCCTGTCTAAAACAAAAACAAAAGCAAACAAAGAATTTCATACATAAAAACTAAACCTTGAGAACAATGGAGGTTGGTCTAGCCTATTCTAAATGCCCAAAGTACTTAGAAAATCATCTAGTACAGAGCCCATCTTCCATGTTGGATATTATTGAAATCTGAACAGGTGATCCAAGACACTGAGACAGATTACTGGGACTCAGGCTATTATTAACACCATGAACAGACAGACAGAGGGGCTCTGAGGAGAGTTCAGGCCCCAGCACCATTGACAGATGGAAGAAGATGAGAGGAGGAAGAGGAGAAAAGGAGAGGAGGAGGAGAAGCAGAACAAAAATGCCAGAGGAAGGAAGGAGCCTCTTAGACCTTAGAGGATGAAGGGAAGTTGATAGCAAGAGTCAGTAGCCAGGCTGTCTGGGTCCCAGGCTGGAGGCAGAGAAGAGGGTAGAAGAGGGTGCATGGTGTCAGTATCATGACATCAGTACTCTGTGACGTCAGCTCACTTCCTGGGTGCGGAAGCCTGTCTGCAGTGTCCCAGTGGGATGCCTTCCTGTTGGGAGCTCTTGCAGGCATTGCCACTGGCAGGAAAGTGAACCAGGAAGAGATAAGAATGAAAACTTGGGATAGTACCATTTTTTTTGGGGGGGGGGTGTGTTTCAAGACAGGGTTTCTCTGTGTAGCCCTGGCTGTCCTGGAACTCGCTCTATAGACCAGGCTGGCCCCAAACTCACAGAGATTCACCTGCTTCTGCCTCCCGAGTGCTGGGATTAAAGATGTGGGCCACCACTGCCCAGCTGACAGTGCCATCTTTGCTGGTCCTGGGTCAAGACCTCCAGTGTTGTAGAATATTATTTTAAGATGTGTTACATTTGTTAATGATGCAAAGACGTGTTGCATTCTTTTATGTTGCATTTGTTTAACTCTGTGAAGCTGTGATACTGTGCCTGTCTAAAACACCTGATTGGTCTAATAAAGGGCTGAACAGTCAATAGCAAGGCAGGAGAACGGAGGTGGAACTGGCAGGAAGAGAGAATAAATAGAAAAAGAGAAGGAGAGGGATCAAGGAGCCAGAAAAGGAGGCAGCCACTCAGCCACACAACCAGACTGGAGTAAGAAGTAAGGAAAGAAATACAGAAATAGAGAAAGGTAAAGGCCCAGAAGAGACAAAAGGTAGATGGGATAATTTAAGAAGAGCTGGCTAGAAACAAGCCAAGCTAAGGCCGGGCATTTATAAGAAAGAATAATCCTCCATGTGTATTTATTTGGGAGCTGGGTGGCAGGGCCCCCAAAAGAGCTAACGAGCAAAAGAGTAAAACAACCAGTTTACTCCAGAGACTGACCCTGTGGTCTGTTTTCCTTACACATTGAAACATGGTAGACCTGTGACCTGTGGCCTTTGTAATAAGAATGGATTCTATTTGCTGATAAACAGAGCTCAGGTCTAGGGCCTCGAGAAGGATCTGTGGTAAGTAAAAGGATGGACTCATTTGGTGGAGGATGCAGAGGACATGGGTCCTCTTTCACAGGGATGTGTTCTATTCACTTGAGAGACTAAGCTCAGGATTAGGCCTAAACAACACTCAGGATATTGGGGGATTCAGGGAGGCCGGCTCAGAGAATAGTAAAAACATCACCAGGTTGATGGACCACTTTTCAGTCTGACATTCTGGGTGACTAGGCATCATTCATTTCCTTCCATTGAAGAAAACAGATCTGTGTGATTGACAATCTTGGTTTAGCCAATGCCTATTCTAAGCTGTGCTTCCTACACCTTTCAGTATCTGTGAGAGGGGAGGACTTCCTTACGGATATGTCATGTAATTGATCGGGTACTATATTGAAAGTCCTGAACAGAATGGACTATGGGAATGCTTTCCTCTGTCATAAAATTGAAAAGTGTTTGGTTGACAATCTTAACCATTGTTAGGTCAGATATTTTCATCATAAGATTGTTGTGTGGATTTTTTTATTTGTGTGTACATGTGAGTATATTTGTGTGCACATGCGTACACAGGCCCAGAGGTTGACATTGGGCTCTTCTTCACTAACTGTCTACCTTTCACTTTTTGAGAACGTGGAGGCCTCAGGTTCAGCCAGGCTGACTGTCAGGCTCTAAAGGTCCTCCTGTTGCTCCCACCACACCCAGATTTTACATGGGTCCTGGGGATCTTACACAGACCCTCTTGTTTGCATATCATATAACTTGCTAACAGCCTAACCTAACCCCTGTTGTATGGATTAAAAAAAAAAGTAGCATGGGACTGGAAAGATGGCTCAGTGGCTAGGCACACCTGCTGCTGGTCCAGACCCTGATTAGATTCCCAGCACCCACATGTCAGCTCATGCCTGTCTGTAACTTCAGTGTTGGAAGATCTGATGCCCTCTTCAGGCCCCTGTGGGCACTGCACACACAGTATGCAGACATACAAAGTCTATATGTTTTAAAAAAAGTAGCATGGAAAACATTTAGCACAGTGCCTGATTGAACTGTGAGGCCGCTGTTCACAGTGAGTCCTTGAGCTTTATAAGTTGCTGTCAGCATTTGATGAAGTAATTGATGTAGTCAGGAAGACTCGGAGGCCTTCCTGGAGCCTGGGACATTGGTACACTAGGTCTGATCCTGGATTGACTGCCTGTCCTGGACAGTAAGGGGAGACCGCTTGTGAGTTCGCAGACGCAGTGGTGGTTGCTGGTGCTTTGGGTTGTCCACTGCTCAGGTGGTCTCGTCTGGTTTTCGTCATTGTGAGACTGACTCTGGGGACCCCGAGCGGTAGAAAGGCGTCTCTTCTAAGTCTAGTGAGAGGAAGCCTCTGTGATACGGAGTGTGTCCAGTTCTTCTCTCTCTTGTGTGTTTGCTTATGTGTGTTTGTGTTTTGAGATAGGACCTCACTGTGTAGCCCTGGCTATCCTGGGACTCATTGTGTAGACCAGGGTAGCGTCAAACTCACAAAGGTCCTCTGCCTCCCAAGTGTTGGCATTAAAGGTGTGTAACACCACTCCTGCCTTATTTATTTATGAAGAGAACAAGATTCTAGACTCTAAAGAAAAATCAGATCCTAGTATGGTCCACCTGAGCCAGAGAAGTGTGCCCTTCAAAGCCCTTAGGGCACTCAGAAATCCAGGTTAATGTTTGAAGAAGCCAGAATATGACCACCCTATTGAAGCCCCAAGGTTTAATATTTAAAAAACCTTTTTTTTTTTTCTAGTTTTTTTTTTTTTTGGTTCAAAGTTGTGATTCCATGGAGCTGTTTGAAACATCTTAGGTAAACAGTCTTTAAAAAATTTATACTTGAAAATTACCACCATTGAAGAAAATCAGCTGTGTCCTCTCTCTGAGCCTGCAGCAAGGCCTGTCCACGTTCAGTTTTGGGGGTGTTCCTGAACGCCAAGTAGATGTCACATGGCAGAGCCGTGTATGAGATGACTTCATCTGCCTGTGTTGCTCCCCCAGTGAGTAAGGAGCACATCTCACTTGTCAGGTCCCCGAGGACATTTAGACAGCCTTGGGAGGAGACGGTGCCTCTGAGGGGTCAGTCCTCCCAGCTAGGTCTCTTCAAACAAGAAGTAGCAAAAACATTATAATGTCTCCCTGTCTTTTCAGATCTAATGTTTTGGCATGGCTTCCTGCTTCAGTGCTGTTCGTGGGTATAATCTACGCAGGGTCCAGAGCTTTGTCCAGATTGGTAAGTATTAGAATGTGTGTGTGTGTGTGTGTGTGTGTGTGTGTGTGTGTGTGTGTGTGTTTGTGGGGGGGGGGCGGGACACACAACCCCTCTTTCCTCGTTGCCTTTGTGTTTTAATTTGTTGCATCCGGCATCCGTTGGGGGCAGACATCAGCTTGAAGGTAAAACTAGATCAGAGAACAGAGGTCTTGGCTTCCTGTGGCTGTGCTCAGGATACCCAAGGGAACAACTTATGGAAATATATTTTGGCTCATTGTTTCAGAGGGTCCTAGACTGAGTCCTTGCTTCTTAGGGGTTGGGGCTGTAGTAAGGAGGTAGAAGACGGAGGGCCAGGAGTAACTTTCAAAGGCCTGCCCCCAATAACCTCCTGGAGGTCTTGCTGCCTAAAGCTCCAGACTTTCCAAAATCAGTACCATATCAAATCAGTTTTTATAATCAGCACTAGCTGGGGACCAAACCTGCAGTATGTGAGCCCTTCTGAGGGGACACTTGGTTCCAAACCATGACAGAGAAGTCCGGGGCCTGAGGTAACATGAAGCACCTTCTCTGCTTTTGTTGAATTGAAGATAACTGGAAAATATGGCAGGGTCAGCTTGTCTCACGAGGTGGAGGTGGGCAAGAGAGAAGGCAGTAGCAACAATTGTGAAGTCTGCCACAGTTAGGCCTCACTTGAGCAGCTTCGGCATGGAGGCTAGCCTCTGCACTCTGCCTGATACAGTTATCCTTGGAAGCAAGAGTCCGGGCTAAACCTTTACCTGTTGCCAAGGAGCTGGAACTGGGTTGTTATGTTATAGGATAATCTTTTTCTGCACTGTAAAGATGTGGCTCCTCCAAGGCATCTTCTGATTGGTTTAATAAAGAGCTGAACAACCAATAGCTAGGCAGGAAAGGATAGGCGGGACTTCTGGGCAGAGAAAGGAACTCTGGGAAGAAGAGAGGTGGGATTCACCAGCCAGACACAGAGGAAGTGGGACACACAGTATGGAGGAGAGGTAACGAGCCACGTGGCAGAACCTAATATAAACAGGCTAATTTAAGTTTTAAGAGAGAGTTGGGAACAAGCCTAAGCTAGGCCCAGCTTTCATAATTAATAAGAAGTCTCTGTGTCATTATTTGGGACCTGATGATCAGAGAAAGTCCGACAGCACTGGGTGAAGTGGTCCAGGGATGCTCGGTGCAGCTGTGAACACAAGTGTGGCCCCGAGTGGACAGGTACTGGGGTACTAGGAAAATGAGGTGTCCATTCTGTCTTCCTGCCCCTCCCCCCTCCCCCTCCAGGACTGAGCTCCTTAAGGTGTGGTTTCTGAAGAACAAAGATGCTTCCAAATGCATTATTCAGAACTCCGAGCTGTAGTTATTTTGCTATCAAAAGAAAATCCATTAAAACCACATGGACTTATAATCAAGATGGTATTAATGCCTTTTTTCACCTTATCCTGACTTCTGTTTTTATTTATCAGAAAATGTCCTGTGTTCTGCCTTTTGGAAAAATGCAGAATTTGCAAAATACTTCAATCTTTTTACAATGTTTGCTGTTATGTTTTTTTTTTCTTGGTTTTTCGAGACAGGGTTTCTCTGTGTAGCTTTGATGCCTGTCCTGGATCTCGCTCTGTAGCCCAGGCTGGCCTTGAACTCACAGAGATCCGCCTGGCTCTGCCTCCTGAGTGCTGGGATTAAAGGGATGTGCCACCGCTGCCCGGCGTTATGTTTGTTCTTGTGACCTCAGATGTAAAAACAAACAAAGTCTGTCTAGCTGGGTAACAATATTGTTAGGGCAACTTCAGGATTATAAAATAGCAGTTGAGAAAGTAATTTGGAAATTACATCATCACTTTTGTCTCATGATTTATACAGTTGAGGAAATGGGATGGCATGTTCAGAAGGGTGGGGTCTTTGGTGTGGGCTAGGAGCTGACTCAGTGCACCTTGGTGCCCACCTGGGAGTCGTCAGGCACTGCCCACTCTCTCTGCCTCTTCTCTCTGGTTCCATTAGCTTTAACTTTTCCTCCAAGTTCTGGATATTTACGGGTGCCAGAAGTTTAAAGGTTGAATAAGTCAGGTATTAGGCCTATGATAATAATGCTTTTTTTGTTCAGTGATTTTTCATAGGTTTCAGAGCAATTTTCTTTGTATCCTTTATTATTTATTTTGTGTTTGTGCATATATGTGTGTAGGTGTGCCCACCTGTGTATGCATATGTGGATTTTAGAGGTTGACAATGAGAATCTTCTATCATGCTTCACTACACACACACACACACACACACACACACACACACACACACACACATACACACACACACACACACACTCGCACGCACTCTCTCTCTCTCTCTCACACACACACACATACACACACACACACTACATTTGAGACAAAGTATCTCATAGTTTCAGCTATGCTAGCTGGGTAGTGAGATACGGGATCTGCCTATCTCCACCCCCTCTAGCACTGGGTTACAGATGTGCACCTTCACACCTGGCTTTTAGGTTACAGATGTGCACCTTCACACCTGGCTTTTAGGTTACAGATGTGTACCTTCACACCTGGCTTTTCGTAGCTTCTGGAAATCTGAACTCAAGTACTCATGCATGTGCACTGAGCACTTTCTCCGCTGGGCCATCTCTCCAGCCTCCTTTGTATCATTATGTGAGTCACAATCACTGGACAAGTGAGGGATGGGGCAAATGCCAGGACCTGACGGAGGGAGAGACGGAGGTGTAGAGTCCTGCCTCTAGTCCCACAAAGTGGCAGCTCTTCTGACTTGTCGTATTCTGTCTTTTTCAGATATGTCTCTTTAAGAACTAATGCATATGGACTTCTTTTTACAGATTTTTAAATGATTTATCTTTTTAAATGTGCATTGGTGTTTTACCTGCATGTGTATCTGCTTGAGGGTGTCAGATTCCCTGGAACTGGAGTTACAGGCAGTTGTGAGCTGCCATGTGGGTGCTGGGAACTGAATCCGGGTCCTCTGGAAGAACAGCCAGTTCTCTTAACTGCTGAGCCATCTCTCCAGCCTGGACTTTTTCTTTTTTTAAAGACCGTCTTCCTATGTAGCCTGTTCTGGCTTTAACTTACAGTCCGTTGTCCTTAGTCAGCTGAGCAGTGGAGGGGATTACAAGTGTGTGCCATGAGCCTGGCCGCTGAGAACCTTTTTACTTTCTTAGAAAGCTCACTCTAGTCGAAGCAGTGAGGAATTCATGTGAGAAAGTTGTAGGACAGAGACCCACTTCGGGCCTGGCTAGGTCCAGAGGGACTGCGGTGACATACCCAGAAAATCCACTTTGTCTCTGTCTCTCACATCTACAGGGAATCTGTTCCAATGTCACCCCCTTCCCCAGGTGTCACTGACCTCAGTGTCCCCTCCTCACGGGTCATGAGGAGACTGTCTTCCTAACAGCTCTTACCTGAGCCCCAGGCTCCACTTAGACTGGATCCTTGGGTCCCTGCCCATTGCTGTTCTGCAGACTAGCCGGGATCCACGTTTCCCAGCCTGCCGTGGATCTCACCGTGGCCGCCACCCACTGCCCCTGGGGAAGCCCCGAGCACCGACTCTCCTCAGGGGCCAGACTGAGAAGAGGCTGTGGCTGTCCTCAGGTTCAGGCACCTTTGCAAGGGACTCAAATACCAGGTGGCTAGAATCCCTCACAAAACGCACCATAAGTGTCCATTCAGTCTGTTCTCGGCAGGCAGGGAGTCCTGCACCCTGAACGATGCTGCAGAAGGATGATTTATCTCTAGGCAAGCCTGTCTTTGAACTTGCTCTTTGGCTGCGGATTTATATCAGTTTCAGTCCTAAGTACACTGTTCACTTGTGTTGTCTTGTGGTTCACAACAGAACTTTTTGAAGAAGTTGATTTACGTTCTAGTTTAACCAGTTGACTTCCATTTTCATGTGCGTTCCTGAGCCTGTGAGTGGAGTAGACTGACCTGGAGCATGGCCTTGTCTAGCAGGCAAAGATAAGCTGCTCCATCCAGATCTGTTAGAAAAAGCACCCCACCCCCATGTACCCATGCAGCCGAGGACAGTGAGTAGGAGCCTCTGCTCACTGTTTTTAGTGACAGATTCAACCCCGCATCTTCTCAGTTCTTTGTTGTGCATTGCTGCATAGACGTCCCCAGGGTGATGAGTGCCAGGCACTCAGCCGGTTTGTGTTGGGTGGGAGACAGTCCTCACTGCCCTGGTGCCAAGCTGTCAGCTGAGGAATCCAGGAGGAATTGGGGTGAGTGCAGTGAAAATTCGTGGGTGTATTGTTACACGAAACTCTTCTGAGTAGCTGTGCTTCAGAAGGGCCTCCCTGATCTGAGGAAGCCTTGACGCTGTCTGATGTGCAGCACCTGGGAGCTGAGCAAGCTTTGCTGGGCCCTGTGGGGAGTTCCTTGTGGGTTTTCCCACATCCCACTTACAGCTGACTGATATGTAGAGGTTAGAAGAGAAGAGAGTGCTCTAAAGATTTTTGTTGCCACTATTAATTTGGTTTTTTTGTTTTTTGTTTTTTTGAGACATGATTTCATCTGTCCAGGCTTTCCTCAAACTATGTAGCTGAGTATGACCTTGAACTTCTGATTCTCCTGCCACCCCCTCCTGAGTGCTGGGACGACAGAGATGGACCGGCATGCCTGGCTTCTGCTGTTCTGGGGTTGATACAGGACCTCATGCTCTTTCAGCCCTAAGTACACTGTGAGGCTGAGTTGGCTTTTGGTTCACAGCAGGTCTTGGGGAAGCAGAGCATGGACTTGCTGGGCAAGCAGCCTGCCAAACAAGCTACACCCCAACCCTAGGAGGAGTATTCGGCAGGAGGTGTTTGAGACTGTGTTCTTAACGACACAGAAGGCGTGGTTTCTGACCTTGCAGAAATCAAAGGCCAAGAGAGCCATTTCCCAGAGGACCGGCTGCTGTGAGTGTGCATTGTGAAGTTGTGTCTGGCGCTTCTGTTGCCAGTCTTGATGGCGTATGGGCTTATGTTACACTTTCTCCTTTCTGCACGCGGTTAGGCC